TTGGGGTGAGCGTTTTTGCGGTGGAAACACCTAACCCCAACCCGATTCTGACCCAGTTTGGTGTTTCCACCGCAAAAACGCTCACCCCAACCCGATTCTGACCCGACTCTAGCCCGACTCTGACCCTCGGTGGAAACGTAGTCATAGAGGTACAAGAAATCCTTCCACGTGTTCACTGTGAGGATCTAATTACTATATTTCAGACTCTAAGCCCCTTTCTTATTACTTGAATTAACTAAATTGCTTGTTTCGATATGGGCAAATTAATCATTTAGTTGATACAACAAAAAATGTAGTTGGAAATTTTTTTTATATTAACACATGAAGATTGTCAACAAAATTTAAGTATAAAGGAACCAAAAATTTTAGTTCATACAATTAATAATTTTGTTCACTCAACCAAATTTGTGTGTTGATGTAACCAACTTTTCCAACTAAATTTTGTTGTTGTGTCAACTGAAAGATTTGTTTGCTGATATCCAAGCAAGAAATTTTGTTGATTCAACAAAATTTTGTTTCATTTAACAAAATGGGTCTCTCAGTGTAGTCTCGTGAAGTATCTATTATATGTGTACGTTGATAAAGAGCCGTCGCTTCGACATGCGATTCGTTTCTCATTACAAGTTGTAGAAACTTAATAATTAATCGAGGAACGTTGCTTGTTACTGATAAAGGAGTACAAATCACTAGCGGTTTGTCCTTACATTCATCGCGATCGAATCTTGGAAACCGATAAAGCAAAAGTAAAGCCGCGCACGGAGCGACTCTCGCCACTGCTTGCCGGCTCGACGTACGGCGAGCGAGTGATAGCGCGGCGACCTTCAGGTAAACAATGGCCCGCGTACGATACCGTGCCGAGAGAAAAACAACAACGACCGTTGAGAGTTCGGTGTCTTTTTTTGTTCCGTGACTGTTACTACGTTTTGTGTATCATTCTGCGGACTTATTGGTATTGATTAAATTAACGATTGATTCTGTTCAATCGAGAAAATGTTTAATAAGTAAAAGGTGATAAAGATTAAAAGATAAAAATTAAAAGGAATCTCAGGAATGAAGTTTTTTTAATTAAATAAACTCAGTGGATAAATTAGGAGCGCGATATTACCAATTATAGATAGTAATTACTCTTTATGATATCAGTCAAGTCAACAAAACAGCTAGCCTGCTGATTGAAGTAAACGATAAAAATGGTAAAATTGTTAGTTGGTTTATCCCTCACATTTTGCTAGCCTATATGTATAGCATATTTCATTCGCTTTCTAGCGTCAGCGATTTAGTTCATTATAAACGTTTGTTTTCTGATAAATGTTAATCGGCATAAATATCCTCTGGTTAATTTATACCGTCAATGTAAATATTTATATTTACATTTTATTAGTTTTCATGGAAATATCTTTAAAAAACACAAATGTGTGTGTGTAGCATTGTGAAAAATAGAAATCCGTGCGTTTTGTTGATAGAAACTTTCATTATCTTCCAGCAAGTAGCGATAATTTTTAGCGTAATTTCTGTTGCGACGGAAATTATATTTATACTGTATAATAATTTATTCATTGATCTACTTACGAGCTGCTGCAATTTGTATCACGCGTTCGTTTGACGAGCAGACTACAATTAACTACTTTGCCGGCTTGAACGTAGCCCCTTTGAGTGTCTCGCGCGATTGATTCTCCGCGTTTCAGACGAGAATTGGCGGGAATTCCACGTTTCTATTCTCCGTGTAGGTTAGATTTCCGTCGCGAGACCTCGTTGCATCTGCATAACGGTGTTTAAATATCACAATCGAACCCCCGATCTGTGCTCTCGTGAGAAATTCAACAGTGGCAATGGCGGAAGCGTTGTGCGTACGGTATATTATTTTTATACTTCAACGTGAAAATATGTTCCCTCCTATTGTTACAAATATCTGAACTCTCGATTGTTGACACTCTGTTTCACAAATGTAGGGACATCTCTAAGAGAACGTCGTACATCGACTGGGACGAATATTTCATGGCGATTGCGTTCCTCTCCGCGAAACGGAGCAAGGATCCCAACACCCAGGTCGGCGCGTGTATCGTCAACGACGACAAGAGAATCGTCGGTATCGGGTACAACGGGATGCCCATGGGATGCAGCGACGACGAGTTCCCGTGGCAGAGGGGCGAGCACAATAGTTTGAACGCGAAATACCTCTATGGTACAATAAACGAATTTTTCTTTACAAAACACGTTAGTCGGCCAACGAGATGTTATTAAGAGCGTTTATCAATCTGTTGACCGTTGTATTGCAGTGTGCCACGCGGAAATCAACGCGGTCCTGAACAAAAATTCGAGCGACGTCAAAAACTGCGCGATATACGTCGCCCTGTTCCCGTGCAACCAGTGCGCAAAAGTGATAATACAGTCTGGCATAAAGACCGTCGTATATATGTCCGACAAATACGCTCAGAAAGTCGAGACGATAGCCGCGAAAAGGATGTTTGATGCCGCGGGCGTCGAGTACAGGTACTTGCTCTTATTCCGAAATCGCCCCATTTGTTTTACAGTCGCGCGTATCCCACGGAAGATTTCTCTATTTTGTCTCTATTGCAGGCAGTACGTTCCGAAGAGTCAGAAGATAGAGATCAATTTCGGCGACGTTAACTGGACCGAGATGAACCAATTGCCGCAAACCCCGACGGAGCAGGGAAATTACAATGAGAATTAAAATCGTATCGATCACCATTTTGCCTTACACGAATAAATCTGACTTTGGAATGGACGTGTATTCCACTTCTTTTTGTTTATTTTTTTATAGCACAGGTACGTTTAAAAATGTAACGTCTATTTCACTGCGAATAAGTTGATAAAGATGGCCTTTTTATTATCGTCGTGGTAGCGTGCGCAATAAAGAATATTTCTTCTCGTGTGTTTCTATTCATTTATTTATTTTTTCACTTGACATTTCATAGAATGAATCCTTCCCGGGTAATGTTAATCACCAGATAGCACGTGAAAATACAACTTACGATTGTATTGTTGGATACTGATTTTGTTTTCCTTTTATGTGTTTTTGTTTTCTTGGAAGTTCAGAAGACACTAATATTTACATATAAAAGTATTAATTAAGAGTAGGTACAAATGCAGGCAAAGCAAACCTGCCTCTCCCTTCGATCCTCACAGATCTGATAATCCCGTTTTTTTTCTCTAATATTAATTAACCAGATGACCGTGGAAAAAATAAATAAAATAATGTACAGAAAGCAAAACAAGTTGCAATAAGACTAAAACAGATTTAAGTATATGACACAACTCTCTGTTTATGCGTTTTAGCAGCTGTACAAATGTAAATAGTGACACAATGTTCTTATGGCGTAATAGAAATATGTAACAATGTTTATTTCCTCTTCGAATTAAGCGGGGGCAAAAGTAGACCAGTTTTACATGATATAAATGTTTCCATGGTGAAGTAGTATAATAAAAGGAAACGCGATTAAACGTAAGGAGACGTTTGATACACATATGTATATGCGCGTATGTTAATACGTGTTTTATGTACATACTATACATATTCGAATTCGTTCAATTAAAATGCTATTTCACTTATTTCCTCAGTCGTCAGTATAATGCGGAGGAAAGCTTAGAGACAATGAGCGTGATTACATTTGCGGAATCTGAATTCATCACATAGAAGTCCTTCGCATTGTAGAAAATTGCGATTACAGCATAGAATACTATGCCTCGTGTATCACTGTAGTGAAATCAGTAAGTAATATTTAGAATATCACTTATATTGAAACGGAATGTTGGCATTATTATTCGTGCCAATATACTCTTTCGCCTTTGTTACATATTTGGTATACATCAGAGTGAGCAAGTAAATACGCTATATATTTTTTTTATTAGTATGACCTACATCACTTTTATGTAACAAAATTCTCAGACTATGTAGATACTCGTCACTATTGTGGAATATAAAATGCCAAAGATTTCATTTCAATGTATGCCCCGATGTTCACAGATATCCGTGCGTGCGCAAAGTCGCTTATTTAATAAAAATTACTACGATTAAACTTCCAAAGAAAAAAAAAAGAGACACTACTCGTATAGAATAATTATTCTAATTCTGTGTGATGAATTCCAATTATATTCGGAAATGGAAGAAGATATGGTTTAGAGAATAACCCAAGCTAGCTTCTCGTACGATTAATATGTTGGGAATTGAAAGGCAAATCTAGATTCAGCTCTCGACAAATTTGGATGCAACTCGCAATTAGCATTATTTATTTTCTATTCTTTTGATGTCTGCCTATATACGCGTGATAAAAGTTCTTATATCGAGGTAATAACCTCCGGTAAAGATTGGAGCAATTAATACGTCAACTTTTCCATGAACACATGAAAATTCCGTACAGAGGTCATTCATACTTTTGTAAAAAAAGACATTTAAATGAAGATTAAAAAATTCGAAGAGAGAGAGTAAAGTCCTCGGTAGATGCACGGTCGCGTCGAGTCCAATTGCTTTTAATAAATTAATAGAAATGTACACAATAATGTAGCAGTTTACATTAAGCTTTAGAAGCCAACCTAAATATTTACTGATTCCCCTCTCTATCAGCTCTAGAGTAATGTCATCGCAATCAAAAAAAAAAGATTACATTAATTTGTTTCTTAATTTCATAAGTCTACAACTTCCAGGCAGCATATCCATGCATTTACGGAAGGAATAATCAAAAAGTGATTTTAGAGGACAACCGATCTTATTTTGTTAAATTATTCCATCGACTCACCACTCGTCATTTTGCGATAATAGCCGGTATGAGATACTTTACGGTTGATTAAGGAGGTAAATATATATTATAACTAATACAATCAAACGTAGATATCTACTATATGTTTATGATTACTGTTATGACGTGTTTGAGTAGGTGATAAACATTCAGACAATATTGATCGGCGGCAAACTCATTTGTCGCTCATTCGAAAGAAAGTCGTAAGACATTATACACTTATTGATATAGTACCTGAAATATGTACAAACATTATTATTTTAATAGCTCGGTAGTATCTATGTCATCTCGTATCGAAAAGGTTTTTACGGGAGAACTGAAAACCTATAAATATGCAGCATCATTTTTTTCGAAACTCAATCGTAACATCCTTTGACTTGTACCGGTAGGCTTTAAACCTTGTATTTATTAAAATTTCCGCAATCCGTCGATGTACGCACGTACGCTGATATTTGCTATTAACACATTAACGGCTTTTCGATTTATGATATACTTTGGTAGTTTGCGTATACAAAACGCAGTTTATTGTTCCTATAGTAACTTTCACAGAGACTTTCGCAAACGGACACTACTTCCTTATTGACTTCTCGATGGAATATCAGGGCTCCAATCCAAACGTAGATCATTACCCTGGGCAAAAACGCAGGCAATAAAATGTGTGTCTAGGAGGAAAAGCGTTAGATCATTTTGTTCATTGAAATCAACAGTTCACGGGTGAGGCGAACCAGAAGTTAATACACGATGTGGGAACGGAGTCCATCCAAATGCGACGACGGACATGCACGGTACAGTACTCGGTGCTTCGATGATCATCTAGCGTTTTGCGGCCTCTACATAGTAGAGTGTTATGTAGGCATCGCTGGAAATTGTACACCTTAAGTCAAGTAGAAATATTCGCATTAGAGCGCGCGTATGTATGTATGTATACAAGTCTTGTCTTTCTTTTTGTACCAATGTGTTAGTTCTCGCACGTGTTATTTTACACACTGCACGTCCCGTACCACAAAACAGTCCGCACTTTCGTCGATTATTTCCTTCCCGTCCTGATCCCCATCCAACTCCTCGCGTTTAACGTCGCCGCCCACGACAAGCAGAACGTGTCAAATTAATCGGTCTCGATTGTTAACTAATATTTAGCTACGTCGTCCTCTCTCTCTCTCTCTCCCCCTCTCTTTCTTTTTTCTCATTATTTTCCTTCCTGTAAAATTCCAGACCGCGTTCCAGAAGCTGTAGGCGGTCCGCGCCTCGTCATATTATAATTTATTAGGATTGTTTATCCAGCACTGTCTCAGCACTGTTCGCACTATGTGAAATACTCCCGAAGAACAGTTCGTGTATAACACATGCTTTGCTCGATTAGTTATTTCGCCAATTTCGTTTCATTTACCACGGCACCTAAAACGCGATTTTTAACGTCCTCTAGCGCAGATCAGAGGAACGCTTCCGTATCCCAACTCTCCATTGACTTGTCCTAATTACGATAGTGATTCAGTGACGCTGCAATAGCGCGTGCCTGGATCAGTTTTTGATCGAATTCTCTTTTTCTTGATGATTGTTGGCTTTCGGCTCGGGCGGCCGAAATGCGGTAGCGAATGGGAACCGCACGTGGCATTTCGTCATGTAATCGGCTATCGTGTCGTCACAGTGTCCGAAGTCGCCGTTGCGCAATGCATCGAGCACCTTCGTGCAGTTCTGCAACGTCACGCCATCGAGCTCCTCGATGCTCGTCACGAGGGACAACGCCTTCGTCTGCGCGGACGGATCCAGGACATAAAGCATCCTTGCGCCTTGCAGCAGATGCGGCAGCGAATTCCTGTTCTTCTTCAAGTACTCGGCGTTCAGTTGGGCCGCCTTCGTACTCAAGAAGATTCCGGCGGTCTGACGCTTCACCACCTCGCCTACCGCTCCTTCCAGCGGTGATTTACTGATGTGTAACAGAAAACGCACCAGACACGTATGTAGGTCTGGATCGTTTATGTCCAACCTATGAGCGCGTTTTATCGAGCGTAACATGAGAAGAGTGCGACCTGTAAGAGAAACAGACATTTACTGTCTCGCGTCGATTTATTGTTAATTAGTTCTGCAAATAACTTCCGTCAATTGCAACTTGATTTATATATGCCTTATTAAATGTAACTTTTAAGTACCTTTTCGAATATATATTTCGAAAGCCATTAGATGCGTCTCTATCCGATTCGACGCCAGTTCCTGCAAGGGCTGCAAAAACTTTATCGCCTGTTCCAGTGGATCTTCGACCTGAAAAAAAGTATTAATGTAACCACCGGTGAAAAAAATGTATGCTTTGCGGCTTGGGCTGATCTGTACAACGTTTATATAAAAGATATCTCAGTGCCAATGCTTTCGTAATCAAATTAATTTTTTGTCTTCGCTGATATGTTTTTTTTTTCAGTAGTAGAATATTAAATTAGTCGAGTCCACTTTTTAAATTTTGTAAGTGGAACAGTGGTCATGAAAATACTCGTATTAAATAATAAGGCCGGCCAATCGAAAATAATGTTCCTCGACGTGAAAAAATATTAATGTAATTACCGTTAAAGAAACTATATTTGCAGCTTGGGTTGATTTGTACATCTTTTATACAAAGGATATCTCAACGCCAACGCTTAACACTTTCATGATTAAATTAATTTGTTTTGTTGACATGTTTTTCAGTAACATAATGCGCGTCTTGTCAATTGAGTCGTTTTTTAAATCCTATCCCCACATATTCTTGTCTGATACATTTCTGTATCAGGTCTGATACTGACCCTTTCCAACTTTTCCGGAATTAATTCGTCTAGCGTAGGCTGCTCGAGATCAGGGTCGTTCTGCTGCCGAGATTTGTTATGCTGTTCTCTTTTCTCCTGAGCCTGGGCGGCCTGCTGCCGTTCGAGCTCGGCCTTTCTGCGCTGTTTCCTCTGTTTGTTTCTCAATTTCTTCAATTCGGATGGTGCCAAGTTCTCTGTAACACGACAAAGAGAGTGTCATTTTTAACGCATGCAAAAACAACTGACAGATACAGCGACCTTGCAACTGAAGAGAGCGCGCGGAAAAATCGCTTATCCGCGCGGCAAAGTCAAACTTTACGGTCGCGTTTGTTACCGTTTTAAATTACTTCAAACAAAAATAGTTCACGGAT